AAGGTTTGGTCTCCATGGGTAGATTACTACCAACCAGGTAGGAGGGCACTACAGCTGTGATCCCCTCCTCCCTTTCCTGTACTGTAGGATTGAGACCAGGGGCGGACTGACAACTCATGGGGCCCCCGGGCAATAGGGGATCATGGGGCCCCTGTGTCCTTGTCAAAACTCAAAAAAGCCTATGAAAAAGGTACCAGGGGTATCACATGGGGCCCCCTACTGACCCTGGGCCATCGGGCAGTGCCCGAGTTTCCAAATGGTCAGTCCACCCCTGATTGAGACGTTAGGCCGTTGCGGCGTTCCAAGGTGCTCCCCTCCCGTCCCTTCCCCTCACCTTCCCCCCATCCATCCCTTTGCCTCTCTTCCTCCCCCTTCCTCCTTCCACTCTTGACTTTCCTCTTCTCCATTTTTTTTTTCTTTTTGGGCTGCTTTGTTTTTGCCCTCCTTTTTTTGCTTGTCCCAGAGAGGTAATCGCACTGGTATCCACTCGCACTCTTTACCTTTACAATGAGTCATATTCTGATATACCCCGACGGTGCAGCTTCCCAGCATCATTTCCAGCGGTGCCTGCTCTGGATTGCCTCCGGATTTGACCCACCGTCCTCTTCAGCATGATGGCTTAAGGCATCTCCCACATGCCTGCATGTTCTCTGCCAGTCTTATTTTGAGTGTTAATAGAAGAAGAGCTTTATGCCATCAGAGGCCACATGCTGCCGGAAACTGGTAACTATAACTTATTCACATTCTCTGTTTTATATTTATCTGATTATAAAGGATACACTTTAATATATATGGTAAATTAAGCATAAGAAAAACTGACTATGTAAAAACAACTAGGTTTCCTGAAAAACATTAAAACAGAGATATAAATGATGCATTGTTGTTTATTCTCCCAGGTATCCCTGTCATTCTATACCAGGGTGACATTAAGGTAGTGGCCGACCGCAGTGCACAGATATGCAACACCTGTGAATGGGACAAATCAAAGCAAGGACTCGTTATCGTCCCCTACGTCATCTCTTCTGTGTATTGTAAGTTGGTCTCACTATGGATTGAACTATTAGATCTTTTATCACCTAACAGAACTGTAGCCCATATCTATCACCTTGGGTATTATAAAAGGGGAAGATGATGTCTCTTCCTGTGTCTCCACTGGAGTCCAATGTATCTAGAACAGGGGTGGGCAAACTTTTTGACTTGAGGGCCACAATGGGTTCATATATTGGACCCGGGGGCCGGACCAAGAGTAGATGAATGATGTGTATGTGTGAATTAATATAAATTAAATTAAAATTTGTAACATTAAATGTTTAGATTAATTTAAACACTACCATGCCATCCATAGTAAGTATAGTAATATTCCCCCATAGTAAGCATAGTAATTCATCCCCCATAGTAATTCATCCCCCATATAGTAATTCATCCCCCCTATAGTAATTCATCCCCCATATTAATTCATCCCCCATATTAATTCATCCGTTATATAGTATTTCATCCCCCATAGTAATTCATCCCCCATAGTAATTCATCCCCCCTATAGTAATTCATCCCCCCCTATAGTAATTCATTCCCCATATTAATTCATCCCCCATATTAATTCATCCCTCATATAGTATTTCATCCCCCATAGTACTATTCCCCCCCAAGTAGTAAGCCAAGTCCCCTCTGTGTCAATTTGCTTACCTTTGCTCCGCGCGTTCCCCTCGCCGAGTTCCCGCGCCGTTCCGGTCTTCAGGGCGGACTGTGAGAGGAGCCTAGCTCCCCTCACGTTCGTCACGCTGCCCCGCCTACACACATCCTGACAGCCAATGTTTGCCTGCCCTGGCTGTTTTTTTTTCTTATCACGCTCCGCGGGCCGGATTAAAAGGTCTACCGGGCCGTATACAGCCCGCGGGCCGTAGTTTGCCCATTGCTGATCTAGAATGACAGGCCTGTAAGTCTGGTTCCACACCTATGCATCCTTCGTTTACCTGTCTTTGTTTTTCTTTTTTTTTATAATTGCTTTGAGAAAATATAATGTCATGCACTGCCAGTCCTTAGACAGATCAAGACATGGGCATGAACATTTTGTGGGCCAACACATGTCAAGCGTGATGTAGTACCAATAAAAACAAGCATGTAATAAACACTGGATTAAAAACACACATGTTAAATTACATGGGTTGTGAATGGGCCCTTAAACTGCCTTTTCTTTTCAACAGCTAATACAAATAGCCATCTGATTACATCGGCCATGTTAGAGTTTGAAACAATAAGTTGCGTGCATTTCACAGTGAGGAATAAAGAATCCGACTACCTCAATTTTGAAAATGGACAAGGGTAAGTACTACAAAGTTGTTAGAGATTCTGTATATAGCCGTACAGAACAGACAGTGCACAGTCCACATGTGTTTATCTTCTGTTTCTCTGCAAACAGGGATTTTACTCAAGAATAAGATATACAGTAGAATATAGTCATAGATGCAGCTGCGAACTTATAAACACTGTCATCTACTGGTTAAATAATATATCTCTACTGAATACTTTTACTGAAGTACAGTAGTTGTTGCACAAAATACATGAACATTGTATTGAACACCCCCACTCAACAACTACTCCTTTTATTAGTCCCATTTCGGATCTCAGTTCTATAAATCTGTTTCTTGTAAGCGGTTTGTCAAAGCATCTGATCCACTTTTGTTTCTCATGGGTTGGAAGTCTTTGCATCTCATCCAATGAATCTAGCTCTGGTTTTAATGCTACATGAGCAACATAGGACAGACGTTTGGCTGGGATGCCTTTATTGCTTCTAGTGGATTTCCTGATTGAAGCTTCTTGTGACACTGATGTGGAATCTCCCTCAGTTTAAAGTGTTTGTCTTAGTTCAAGAAAGTTTGAACACACTGAAGTTTCATTCACAATTACACTTCTATGTCACTTTTAATGCTTTCTGTTTTATGCTTATATTCATTCACAAGCTTGCTCTTAATATATTCCAATGTCTGTTCATCAGCTGGACATGCATCAAGTGCTGTGACAAGCGTTTTATAACTTTCTGGTAAACCACGAAGTAATAGTGCTGCGACATGATGGTCTTTTATTTCTTCTCCTGTACCTTTCAGGCGTTCAATCATTACAAGCTGTGCCTTATGTAATCCTGCATATCCTGGCTTTTCATCAGCTTGGTTTGGTGTAGCTTTCTAATCAAATACAGTTTATTGCTGAGATTAGCTCTTTCATGCACTTTTTATAACCCTTCCCACATTACTTTAGCAGTTTGACACTTAGATATATGTATGATTTGATCATCATCTATGCTAAGAGAGATTGTGCTCTGAGCTTTCTGATCTTTCTGTCATGTACCTGGTAGTGAGCCTGACATACATACAGAGGATGCTCATTTTTGTACACATCTGCATTGTCAGTTGCCGGTCTTCGCATGTGCATTTGTATGTGCCGTGAAACTTTGTCTGTACTGTGAGCAAGTCTTTCCTGACACTTAATTCATACATTTCCATGTACCTTCTCTTATTAGCACCATTTACATCATAAATTTCCAAGACTGGTAGTTCTGGTCTGTCAGATTTGCAAATGAAAGCTTTGTTGCAGCTGTGTTACTGATCATTTTTCTTTGTTCTGTTTGCAGTCTTCTCTCTGTTGTTGTATCTTGCACTATTTTGGCTGTGACTGGGTGTCTGGGCCCACAACCTGCTATAAATTCTGTATATGGCCCTACAGAACAGAAAGTGCACAGTCAATGTGCATTCATCTATTGCTTCTCTGCTAACAGGGATCAGGGACTTTATTCAAGAAGAAGACATAGAGTACAGTCATAGATGCAGCTACAAACTTGAATACAACTCCATCTAGTTCAACTAATAAAAAAATAAATAAACAGTTCATAAATAGAAAACCATCATATATAGAATCCTTTAACCAGAGTTGATTCAGAGGAAGGAAAAAAAGAACCTTTTAAGCCCTGGTGCCCCATCTGTGCCCCGAGGGCCGCAGGCAGCCCTTTCATATACCATGTGTGGCCCGCAGACTTCAGCAGTCTGCAGAGAGAGCAATGATTAGGGGTAATAGCATTTTTCTCTAGTAGCCTCATGTTAACAGTCTCGTATTGTCTTCTATAGCATGTCTTCAGGCCAAACATGTAGCATGTGTATAGTCTGCGATCACCGTTTCCTCTATTAGATCTGCAATTTGGCAGTCTCCTGAAGCATCACATATATCGAACACTGTGCGGCAATGTCAGGGGCTGCAGTTGAGGCCCCTTATAGCTCATAAGTTGACAACCACTGCTTTAGATAATGGTCTAAATTGCTCTAGCGAGGGGAGAAATAAATTCTTTCCTGATCCCCCAGAAGACATCACAAAGGAATTTATTTTCTACCCTGATCAGATTGGATCATGCTTTATAGATGTTTTTTTTTGTCTTCTTCTGGATCAGCTGTTTATCGGATATATATATATATATATATATATATATATAAAGGTTTTCTATTTATTTATTCTATTTAATTGATTATTTTATTATGTAATTATTTATTTAATTAATATTTATTTATTTTTATTCTATTGGTTGTATATGTTGTATATTTCAGCTTACCAGTCCCTCAATGTGGTGGCTGAATTACTTTTCTTTTTTATTAAATATTGCAGTATATTGCATTTTTGAGCTTAATAAATGCTTTAACTTTTTTTTCATTCACGCTTATAAATCATTGAGGTCTTTATTTTCTAACCTACCAAAACTTTTGCAAATTCACTTAGAATTCAGTCAGAAAAAAAAAACGGCATAATGGTCGTCTTAGAGATACAGTAAACTCTCCTCTGACTTCAGTGTTAGATCGCTGTTTGGGGACAAGTGTACAAGTGTAGTATGTTCCACCCTGACATTAAAATAGTGGGCTGGTGCCAATCTAAGAAAACATTCCAAGGCAGCCACCATGAAGTTGACAAAGGTGTAGATAATAAGTATGTATGGATGTTTTAATCATCTGGTTTTTGTTTTTTTCATGTGCAGCTGCTGGTCCTCTGTTGGGAAGACAAGGGGCAGACAGACGGTGAGGCTCGAACAAACCAAATGCATGAGATATGGCCTTATCCAACATGAAATTATGCATGCGTTGGGTTTCTTCCACGAACACAACAGATTTGACAGAGATAGTTACGTGAAAATCAACTGGCAGTACATCTCACCAGGTTGGTACAATAACATATATACAATATGTACTCCGTGTATGCCAGAAGACATGAAATATGCTGTGACCACTCAGGTGAAGGGACCTCTTATGTGGCCATTAGCAGAAACAGGTAACAGCAATGGATCAATGAGTCAAAACCTGTATAGCGGTGCAGTGAGCTGCTAAACAAACACTTTGCTATGTGTGTATGTTGGGCTATTAAATTCATAGCACCGTTTAGATGTACAGTAAATCAGGGATCTCCAAACTATGGCCCAATGGCCACATCCAGCCTCCAGCTGGGGACAGTGGCATATTCAGAATGTGCACCATTTGAGGATCAAGATCAGCAGAGGCTCCCATATGGTCTCCACTTCTGATGTAAGGGGGGACTTTGATGGGGAGCCTGATGTTAAGGGTGAAGGACTATGGTGGGGATCCTGATGTAAGGGGGGATTCTGACAGAGACATTAATAAAAGGGTGTACTTTGATGGGGATCCTGATATAAAAGGGGATTCTGATGTGGACCCTCATATAAGGAAGGACTCTGATAGGAACCCTGATATAACGAGGGGCTTTGATGGGGTTTTTTTGGCACAGAAATAATTGTAAAATATATAATGTGACCCTCAAACTGAAAAGTTTGTAAACCCCAGGTGGAAATGACAAGGCAGCGCTGAGATAGCATCTGGCAAGCCCCCACTGGAGATTTGTGTGACCTCTCTGCAGCTGAATCCATACCATTCTTCAAACATTAGTAGTGAGCGGGGGAGGTGTTCGGGCAATTCTAGGCTTCCTCTGTAGGTCAACATGTTTCAGGGGTAAGATCTGAAACTCTTAGGCTAGGTTCACACTATCATGGGTGTGAAAAGGTTTGTAACAGCACATGTTCTCGTAATCGCAGGCAGTAGGCATCAAAAACGCACTGCTTTTAAGCAGATGTGCGGTTGCCCTTAAACCTTCATGGCACTCCCACGCACTGGAAAATGCAAAAAGGCATGGTGTCAAAGCACCATGCGATTGCCTTGCTAACACTTTTTTGACAAGTTGCAGGGACCTTTTCCTTGCATTTCAATAGCCCATTCAAGTGAATGGCTGCTGGGCCTTTGCAAATGCAGCTGCAGGGAAACGCAAAGATGTTAACCTAGTCTTAAAGTAGTGCTAAAGGATTTCCATTTCTGCCTTAATGCATTAACCAAATTAAGGTAAAAAAATGTCCCAGTACATGTGTTAACCCCCCATCCCCAAACACCTACCTTCTGTCTTTGTCACCGTAGCCACCTCAGGAATCCATCCACGCCATTCCCCAAGCTTCCTTGTTCTTATGGATACATTGTGGGCAGCAGAGCGATAGGCTCCTGCTGTGAATAGTCAAAGTGCTGATAAGATGAAGATGGAGGAAGCAGGGGCAATGCTTGCTGGGTGCCATAGACACACACATAGCGTGGCCTAGGAACCTGATAGAAGTACACATGCCAGCAGGGAGGAGGCCAAAAGACCATCCAACATAAGAGAAAAGGGACATTTTTAAGGGAAAAGAAATATCCAAACTGGGTAAATCTGGACCTCTGCTGCTAACATTTAAAAATGTGTATATATATATATATATATTTATATTGAAATATTTAAGTTTAATATCACTTTAACTAGAAGAATTATTATGTAGAAACAAAACATAAAAATGGGGGCAGAAGCACTTAAAGCCCAACTTCAAGAAACTTAAAAAATGGATTAATTGCTTAACTGACAACAAAGGCGCAGCACTGTTCTAACATGGAATACAAATGCTGATATGGCAATAAAATGATTAATATCAGTGCAGTCACAATGGCACAGTCTTAATAAGCATATAATCCCACTAGTAATTGAAAAAAAAAAAAAAAAAAGTGACAGTAGTGCATATACATAAAAGTGACCACTTAGTGCTAAAGTGTCAAAGTCTAAGTATATAAATTATTATTATTATTATTATAATACAGTATTTATAAAGCGCCAATAGTTCGCTCAGCGCTGTACATTACAAAGGGGGACAGAACATGTGACAGAACAATACCAATACAATGTGATACACGAGGGGTTCAAGGGCCCTGCTCTTTCGAGCTTACAATCTAGGAGGGAGGGGGTGGTGGCACAGGAGGAGATAGCTGTGGGGGATGGGGTGGTAGGAAGAGTGGAGGAGGTCGGCAAGTTAGCAGGGGGTGGGGTAGGCTTCCCTGAATAGATGGGTTTTCAGGGTGCGCCTAAAGGAGAGAAGAGTAGGTGATAATCTGATGGGTTGGGGCAGGGAGTTCAAGAGGATGGGTGACACCCTGGAGAAGTCCTGGAGGCGGGCATGGGAGGAGGAGACCAGGGAACTAGAGAGAAGGAGGTCTTGTGAGGAGCGGAGTGTGCGTGCTGGGCGGTACTTGGATATTAGGTCAGTGATGTAGTTCGGGGCAGTATGGTGGACAGCTTTGTACGTCAGCGTTAGGATTTTGAATTTGATCCGTTACGCAATCGGAAGCCAGTGGAGGGATTGGCAGAGGGAGGTGGCGGAGACAGAGCGGTTAGAAAGGTGAATGAGTCTGGCAGCCGTATTCAGGATGGACTGAAGCGGGGATAGCCAGCGGCGAGACAGGCCAGTGAGGAGAATGACGTATGTGATACGCTGTGCGTCTTCTGGTGATCAAATATTCGAATTATACACTCACCAGATGCATAATTCCAATATGCATATAGAAACATGTATTATCTCCATGGTTCAGTGGAATCATCTTATGGGTATGTCTACCATCTCTGGGCTTCCGTCTGGGTACTTCTATCCTTTCATGGGGTTCCCTCTGGATCATCCGGTTGGATACTGCACCTCTGGACTCCCTTCCTTGAGGACTCTGTGGGTGATGGACTCAGCAAGAGTTCCAAGAAAGGATGCCAGAATGGTGTGATATCGTTTTGAATGAAATTTATTGATCCCTAGGGAAAGAGCTGCGGAGTCCAGACGTCACGCCGCCGTGTCCCTATATGGGCCGGCGGCCATCTTTAATCTGTTCATGGTCAGTGTTTTTCTATACCTATCTATGTCTACTATGGATCAATAAATTTCATTTAAAATGATATCACACCATTCTGGCATCCTTTCTTGGGACTCTTGCCGAGTCCACCACCCACAGAGTCCTCACGGAAGGGAGTCCAGAGGTGCAGTATCCAACCGGATGATCCAGAGGGAACCCCATAAAAGGATAGAAGTACCCAGAGGGAACCCCATAAAAGGATAGAAGTACCCAGAGGGAAGCCCATAGACGTACCCATAAGATGATTCCACTGAACCATGGAGATAATACATGTTTCTATATGCATATTGGAATTTTGCATCTGGTGAGTGTATAATTCGAATACGTCATTCATTTATATACATAGACTTTGACACTTTAGCACTAAGTGGTCACTTTTATGTATATGCACTACTGTCATTTTTTTTTTCCATTACTAGTGGGATTATATGCTTATTAAGACTGTGTCATTGTGACTGCACTGATATTAATTATTTTCTTGCCATATCAGCATTTGTATTCCATGTTAGAACAGCGCTGCACCTTTGTTGTCAGTTTGGTTAAGAGAGGTTCTTTGGTGCCTTTTCGGTGTACAGCAGCTTGAATTTTAGCGCTCACTTTTACCTTCTTTGCGAATTCATTTCTTGTTTGATCACTTTTATGTGAAAGGGAAACGGGTTCTGAAAAAAAAATATCGGGGTTATGGCTGATAGCTTCAGTCATAACCCCAGTATGCCACTTACAAACTGCAACGCATATATACTGTACGCATGCTTGTTCAGGGTTAGCGACTAAAAAAAATGGAACCTTCAAACAGCCAGGCAACTAGTATTGTTAAAAGGAGATACAATGGCAGTTCCTCTATGTTTTCTCCCTGAATAATTTTGTTTCTTTGTTGTGAATAGCTATTGTTATAGGCTTGAAGGATATCTAAACCCAAGAACGGAAATGAAATATATTGCAACTTACCAGACCTTAGATGTGGTGGCTATATCTTTTTTTCAGGCCTTTTCTCTTTATTTTAACCTGGTTATCCTGCAAATAATGTTTTTCCTGTCCTTGGGTGGATATGTTCACTCCTCCACATTATCTCAGGAGGAAGCCATAGTTTTCACACAGGCTGGACTACAGACATGTCTACTTTTGCTCATCTCCATTACATGGGGGAGTGGGGAGAGAAGTAGTTTACATAAGGAAGATAACATTGTTTTTGCTTTCAGTTCAGCGCACATTAAACGACAGGGACACATTTCTGGCAAGATCAACAGGTATTTTCTGTACTTGTTGAAAATATTTTTAGCCTCAAAAGTGAAAACTAATGCAACCACTACATCTAAGGACTGGTAACCTGCAGTACATTACACTGATGTCTTGAGGATAAGTTATTCTTTAAAGTAGCTCATTAACAAGTAATATTCTTTACAGAAGATGAAGATCAATTTCAGAAGGACGAAGGAAGCACTTTCAGTATTTCTTATGACTATACTTCAGTGATGCATTACAGCAGGTAAAAGAAGACAATCTGTAACCCTGCTTTAACTTTAGATGGTCATCAGTCTGTATTTATATTTTGTTGGCAGCTGGTGGAATCATAATCTAGATCCCTGTATATCTCGTAGTAAAGTATGCAGTGCTACCCCCGAAGGAGCCGTTGAAGTTTAACAGGTTCTTTCCCAAAGCAGTGCAGAGTCAGCCAGGCACACAACAGCTGTCCGCTGGTTCACAGCTGGGGACCATGAAGTAGGTTTGAGAACAGGTAGGAGGTTCTACTTACAGCATGCTGGAACAATATCAGTCCAATGGTGTTGCCTCTTGTACAGCAGTCCAGTATCCAGTCCAAAAGACTTCAAGGTAGTCCAGCATCCAGTCTAAAAGACTCCAAGGGCAAGCAGCACCCCCCTTCTCTCAGCTCAAAGATCCATTCCCTTAGAGGAGCAAAGAGACAATCTCATGAGGGCTCCAGACTATTTAAAAGCATCCCAGACACCATTTGGGCACACCACCCAAGGGATTGGCTAGGCCCTGCTCAATATCCAGGCTGTTCATTTGAATTCTTCCTCCCTAAGCTCCAGAAACCTCTTCTAGAGGCAGGAGGACACAATCAAACTCTCAGCCTGTGAAGCCCTGAACAGACCAGACCAAAAGAATCACTGCTTCCCTGATTACAGCAAGAACCAGAAACTAAATTGACCCAGCAGCCTAACTAGGAGGGTGCTACAAGTAGATCCTCCCTTATGCTAGGGAGTCTCACACATCCTAATGCAGCATGAAAGAAGAACACCCAACAGGGAAAAAAGGACAACTAACTTGTAACTGGTAGAGACTGAGTATATAAGGGAGCTCCTCCTGCACAATCTGCCCAACACTCCTGAAGGTGAGGACGAGTGTGAGGGCACAAAGTGCCAAGAGCGCTGGAGTTGCAGGAACTGGGTTGAAACTAGATACATAGAGCAGAGAACTGAGGATTACGGAGCAAGAACCAAGCACAGGAACACCATGGTACCAGTGCAGGTTGCATGAACTAGCATGAGGCCTTTGCCGAGGGCAGACACGGTTAGACAGCTGGAACTGGTAAACTACAATATTGTACATTTTTGCTTTTGGGTTCAGATACACTTTAAAAGAGAAGCACTGGATTTTTTTATTGTAAATCATACTTACCTAGGTGGATGCAGCATGGATCCGATGCTGCATCTGTGCCCTGCTGGCTCTAAGGCTGAGCAATCAAACACCTCTGATCACTCTGTTTTCCCACTTCGCTCTGAGCAGAGAGTCGGGACTGTCAGTCTCTTCACTCTGCTGACCCAGCACTCACCGAAGCAATGAGCTGTGGGGGTGGGTGGGATAGGCTGACTCAGTCTCTCGGTAGCTCGCTGAGAGGCTAAGCCAGGTGCCGGTCCAGGCTCCTGGGTGGGTCCTGACCATATGGTCACGATCTAGCTCTGTGATGTCAGCCAACAGCGGGCGTTAGTCGGCCAAAAACAGGTCACACGAGTGCAGCTAAGTGGGTTTTGGCTGTACTTCTTCTGTTACCGTAAAATAAATAAATAACTAATCCGTGCCCCACCAATACATCAATAAGAAAATAAAACATAATTTATTCAAAAAGAGATTACATCCATCCAACCTTTTTTCCTTTAAAAGAAAAAAAAACAATTGTGGTGCTTTTGCTGTGTTCTAACTCTACATATGTCTTCTTATACTTCCAGTAAAACATTTGTTAATACATCAAAGCAGGTGTCAATCATACCAATACCAAATACCAATGTTCCCATTGGACAGAGAACGGGACTCAGCAGCCTGGATGTGAAGAGGATAAACCTGCTCTATAACTGCAGTAAGTTTCTTCTAACTTGTGACCACAATGTAAGCTATACTCTTGTAGCACTTACCCCAGAAGAGGCTGCTGAAAACAGACAGGTTCTCCCTAAATATTACAGAGGCCACCAGTCACTCAAGCACACCGACAATTAGAGCCCAGTCTAGGGGAGATGTTTTTAGGATTTACTACTCAGAAACTTTAACAGGAGAGGGATTGTGGTCACGGGATAATCCAACATGATCGGCAATAACAGCTAGCTTCTGTCTAGACTTTCAACTTTCTCTGGAGGTTGCCCTGGATGTCAGTATATCTAAGGACCCACAGTTGTAGACCACAGGGCAAGCGTTAGCAATTGGTTCTCTTCCACTTCTCCATCACTGTCAGTCCCCATTAAGATCATTATTCACAGCGTCCTAGGAACTGTCTGCCACCCTGTCTCCTCAGGGAGATCCTCAAAGAGGCAGATGAAAAATCCTCCTGACCTGGACTTTGACATTGCCTGTTAGAAGGTATCTACTGTACATCTTAGCTGTCCTCCTTAGGCCCTTAGGCCAGATGCTGAGGCCTTAACATTGATTTCTTGTCTTAGTGGTCCTTCTCCTAGGGGCAGCAGCCCCCAGGAGTACTGGCACCCTCTCTGACAAGAAGAGAACACTGCTCAAGGTTCCTAAACATTTATCACCTCCCCGACCACATTCTGGATTCCCCCTTTCGGGGATTGGCCAAGGTATGATAAATATTAAGCTGATCATTTGAATCTCCCTCCCTACCCACATGGAAGAAAAACATATTTTAAATATAATTAAAAAATATTCTTCCCAAATATATTGACATATATTTGAAATGCTACAATTTTGGCCATATTTAATATATTTCAAAGTGAGGGAACGTCTCCCCAATGGGGTCACAGACAAAAAAGAAAATGTATCAGAACTTTAAACTCTCCCCTGGTTTATCAAAAAAGAATGAAATAAAAAAAGAGCTTTAATGGGTTTTCCTTTTCTCATCCACTCTCCCCCACTGGAGTTCCACTTTAAGGAGTGAGGACAAGAAGTCAGGTGAAAGTTCTGATTCGCTTTAGTTGGAGCTTACACAGAGCTGAGTGTCTCTCTGCCGCCATTTGACAGTGCTAGCCAATAAGAGATAAAGTGGAGTAAGTCAAATGCTCCTCTATACTGAGAAGTATTCCCTTTGCTTCCATTGGCTGAACAGATCGGTGGAGTGAATAAAAGTTCAGCATGTGCTCCTGGGAAGGGGAAGCAAAACTTTTACTTTACTCTGCGTGGGCACAGCACACTCTTGCATTTAGGAAGGGAAGAATAGAGCAGCACAGTGGCTAAATGGTAAGGACTTCTGCCTGGCAGTACTAGGGTCGTTGGTTCGAACCCCAACCACAGCACCACCTGCCTGGAGTTTGCATGTTCTCCCTGTACCTGCGGGTTTTCTCCGGGTACTCCGGTTTCCTCCCACACTCCAAAGATATGCTGGTAGGTTAACTGGCTCCTGTCTTAATTGCCCTAGTATGTGTATGTATGAATGTGAGTTAGGGACTTTAGACTGTACGCCCCTTGAGGGTTAGGGATCGATGTGAAAGGACAATATATATGTAAAAGCCTTGCGAAAATTGATGGCATTATATAAGTATCTGAAATAAATAAATATTATTTACAGTCTCTCTGCTCCACCCCTGAGGATGCAAATTGCATTTTTTTTTTTTTATACTATGACATCTGTAGGAATTGATTGTTTTTTCATGCAGGTCTATGCAGGACAAAGTTGATGGGTGCCTCAGGAAAATTCTCTTCCAGTGATGCCACTGCCACCAACACCAGTGACAATTGTCTATGGCTCCTACATGCTCCTTCAAACCTGGTAATTTTTCTGGCATTGATTCTGCTCTGGCATTCATTCTGTTTTAAAATAAGTAGCCATAAAATATCCCAAACAAAAAAAGATTTGGTTAACTAATGCTCAAAAAAGAATCTTGTCTCAGCTGGTACCTCCAGGATTTCTCCTGAATTATCTGATCTTGTACTGTATGTATTGGGAGAAAGAGTGAAGTGGTGCAGAATCTTTTATTAGAGGAAAGGCATGAAGGGTGTAAATGGCCTCTAGTCCTCATTAATTTTGATAATAGGGACTATAGTAAAAGCCTGAGCTCCTTATTTTTTTTTTTTTTTTTTTTTAGATCTAACATATAACCTTTATTCAAATATATAAAAAAATGTATGCTCAGCTGTATTTAATGCCTATTGGAGTGGAATGTACTGTGCACAACAATATAAATGGAATACCATTGCAATTATTTACCTTACATCCAAATGGTTAATAACACCTGACCAAATCAAATACCATACCGTTTTAGATGATGTGACGGCATACAAAGAGGCACTGTAGTTTGATGATAAGCCTATCAGCTTGAATATATATTCTTTGTTAAGGAAATGGAGTTTCCCCATGGACAAAACCAATTAGACAGTACAAGCCATTTTCTTTGGAGAGGTCTGTACTGTGTTTTACAATGCATCACTTGCATTCCTCAAGACAGTGAGGAATGTTTAGTGGATATGGTGATGTATGGGGCTTATCCATGAGAGGCTGAGCTCCTTATTTCTTAAGTATGTGTGTAGCCATTTTTTTAAGTTTGGATAGAGTAGGGAAAATCCCTTCTTGGAGAGTTGTCTGTAGAGATGTGCATGACAGAAAAATGTGTTTTGTTTCGGATTTGTTCCTTAAGTTAATATTTTTGTTATGCTGTATTTGCTATGTTAGAATGATTATTTTTTGGAATTAATTTCGTATATTCGTTATTTTCAGATCGATTCAAATTTCAAATTTTAATTCAAAATTCTAAGTTTGAATTTTAGAAGACGGCTATATTCGTTCTATTTTAGTATATCTGTTCTATTTTTTTCTATTCTGTTCTATTCTATTCTACTCTATTCTATTCTTTTATTTTTATTCTTTTTATTATTCTTTCTTTTATTTTTATTCTACTTTTTATTATATTCTTTATTCTACTCTTTTATGTTATCTTTTCTTATTCTATTCTATTCTATTCTCATTTATTCTGTTCTATTCTTTTCTATTCTAATCTATAAAGCAGCCCAAATAGGAATCATCATCTTATTTCACTTTTATGCCTTACTGTATTTATTGCAGTATGTTTCCATTTCGAATTCAATTATTTTTTTTATTTCTAATTCATTTTCAAATTCAAATTTGGATAATTTGTTTTGTTCTTATTTATTTTGGATTTGTTGAAATTCATTATTGTTACTGATTCGGAAATTCAGATACATTCGAATTTCAGAATAACCGAAATTTCAGCTGAATTTCAATTTGTAATGAAACGAATCGCAAGTCAATGTCAAATTTTTTTTTTGGTCAGGATTTTTTTTTTTAATTTTTTAAATTAGTGTCAGTGTCAGTTAATGGCAGGATAAAAAAAAAGCAAATTGTGCATTGTTGTTTCTGTGCTGTTCTACGGGTACAAACAACAACTAACATACACACATATTGTTGGTATTGCTGCGATCATCAGGAGCAGGAGAATATATTTTGAGTTGTTCTATGGTGGTAAATTATGGTAGTAGCAAGAAATACACAGTTAAATTTTAAAAAATGTTTTTCTTAATTATTTTGGCCAGTTTTTTTTACCACTTTTGGTACTAAAAAAAATCAGGAGATATCCATTACCATTTACCACCAAGTGAAAGTCCAATTTGTCCTGAAAAAATCAAGGTATAGCCAACTAGATGCACAAATCAGTTGTGATGATTTGTACGTTTTTGCTAATACATGTCAATGTTGCAAAATTGTGCTTAGGCGTTAAGATTTGTTTTGCCCTTAGGCATGAAGGGGTTAAGTTACTGAACTTTGTTAATTTTACAGATATTGCTGCAGTTTTCCAAGTTTGTTGTTCCTCCAAGAACTGTAACGCTAAGATCAACGTGTACGATGGGGTGACCAGGAACAGCAATCTGCTAGCCACAGTCTCAGCCCGACCAGCCTCTTCCAGTGCTGGTCTCATCCAGCACATTGATGCTGCTGGAATATATCACCAATGCATCTACTCCAAGCAGATTCAGTGGATCTTATAATACAGGTATGTATTCATTTCTAGTGTGTATTATATGGTCAAAAAATATTAATTCATTGTTTCTTAAAGTGTATATAAACCCAAAAGGCTCTTGCACAGGGGACCTCTAGCTACTGGGCCTCCAGTCCTGTCATTTTAGTGTGCCCAGGGGGCACCTTGTCAAAGTCTATGGCAGGCTGAAATATTCTGCATTTTGGGCATTCATCCCTGAATAAATAGGGCCCTATATGAGTGCCCTAAAATTCCAGAACTGGGGCCCAGTAGCTGAACGCTCTACATGAAACTGACCTAACAAGTAAAATTCTCTTATTTTCTCCCTTTTGGTCTGTTTAATACACTGTATTGCCAAAAAAGTTTTTTTACATATATGTGATAAGTGCACACTTCCTGCATTATCTCTAAGAGACTACTTAGCCCTCGCAGTTCTTTAAGAGGAACATCAGCCCCCCCATCCTCCCTGAGGGTTAATTCAACCCCTTTTTTGTCCACTGGATTGATTTATAATAGCAAACCTACCCGCCCAGCAAATCAAGGGCTGTCCAGCACACTGGGTCCCATGCCGCCATCTTTTTTGTAAAGATAGGCCAGCTGTCTCTTCCAAGGCCTATCAGCCACCCCCGGATGACACTGCACAGCATATTCTACATAGCCCATACATAGCATCCTGGAATGTGTAACATGGCTATCCTCAAAAAAAAAAGTTTGGTTGCAGTTTGCGTGAGGGAGTAAGAAGGAGGAGCAGGATGGAAGGAACAACCAAAAGTTAGTGAAGGTCCGCTTTAGCTGTGTATTGTCAGCCCACAATAGGAATTAGGAGCTGAGTGCATTTTATGGCAGACCAACAGGCGTTTTCAGGGTTCTTGGATCTTGGTTCTTGTTTATGGATTCGTAGAGGTGTACTTTTTTATTATTTTGCTTTAAAATATAGAAGATAGAAGAAGGCAGAATAAAGACCAACTGGTCCATCACATCTACCCTATTATTTTTTTAATACTTATACTTTTTATTTTTGTTTTTTTTGGGTTTTATAACTTTGTTTTTGTGGGCCAC